GAGACCCTGTCTTTTAAAAAAAAAAAAAATTAGTGGCACAGTTTTTTGTTTGTTTTTTTTTTTAAGATTTATTTTTACTATTTTAAATTACGTGTTTGTGCATTTCTAGTTGCCCAGAGTCCAGAAAAAAAAAAAAAAATTAGATCCACCTAGCTGTAGTTAAAGGCAGTTGTGAACACAATTGTAGTTTCTGGGTGCTGAACTAGGGCACCCTGCAAAAACAGTATGTGCTTTTTTATCTCTGGGTCATCTCTCCAATCCCACAGTTTGTCTCTTTAAAACTTTTTTTTTTTTTTTTTTTTTTTTTTTTTTTTTTGGTCTTTTGAGACAGGATCTCCTTCCCTGTAGCCCCAGCTGGCCTGGAACTCACTATGTAGACCAGGCTGGCCTCAGACTCGAAGAGATCCACCTGTCTCTGCTTCCTGAGTGCTGGGATTAAAGGAGTGTGCCACCACACCTAGCTAAAACTTTTTTTTTAATGGGTTCCACTGAGATGCTCAGTGGATAAAGGCACTTGCTGTGTATGCCTGGTGACTTGAGTTCTATTCCTACAACCAACATAAAAGTAGAAGGAGCAAACACACGCACACATATAGTAAAATTAAATAAAGTATTTATTTATTTATTTTTAAATTGCATGATCTTGTGAAAAAAAATGTCAGGCACATAGATGGAGAATACTTTTATTCAGTGCCCCATCTCCCTTTTTTTTTTTTAAATTTTACTTATTTTTATGTGTATCTGTATATTGCCTGCATGTAGGTAAGTGCGCCCATGTCGTGCAATGCCCATGGAGGTCAGAAGAGGCTGTCAGATCCCCTGGAACTGGAGTTACGGATAGTTAGCTGCTATGTGGGTGCTGGGATTCGAACCTGGGTCTTCTACAAGAACAACCAGTGTTCTTAACTGCTGAGCCTTCTCTCCAGCCCCCCCCCCCAGTTTTATCAGTCACTTCTCCAGACACCTTGCTTCTTAAGAGTTTATTTTGTCCTTCCAGAAATTTTCCTATGAGAGTAAATGTTCCAAGTGAGGCTTATATTTTCTTTGACTGCCCTGCCTAATCCCCATCTCCTTCATCAGATTCCCTTCTATTTAGTGTGAATCTAGTGAAATATTTTTCTTTTCTTTTTTAAAAATATTTTATTTTTATTTTATGTGTATGAGTGTATTGCCTGCATGTATGTAAGTGCACCCGTGTCGTGCAGTTCTGCAGAGGTCAGGAGAGGGCTTCAGATTCCCCTGAAACTGGAGTTAAGGATGGTTCATAGCCACCATGTGGGTGCTGGGAATCAAAATGGGGTCCTTTGCAAGAGCAGTCAGTGCTCTTAACCACTGAGCCATCTCTATAGCCCCATGAAATATTTTTCTTTACATTCATGCAAGGTGTATTATAAAACTGAATTTCACTTTAGAGGTGTTAAGCCAGTTTGTGCAGTATGTACGTGTGTGCATGTGCACACATGTGTAATGCTTAGAATTGATAAAATGTATTCTATGATTGTATATAGTTTTCTGTCACTTGCTTTTTTCACTAATTATCTGAATCTATCACATTGTTCTACTGTTGCTTATTATGGTGTTTATGTTTCCAGTGATGCAGTATGTGTTCTTGTCTGTCTCCTAACACATAGGTAGGAGTAGGGGCAGCAATATATAGTGAAGAAAGGGCCTGCACATTTATAATTTTGAAATATTGCCAAAGTACTATCCAAGAATATGGTAAAAGTTTGTACTTTCAACATGAGCATATCAGTGTTGGTTTTTACCTGTCCCATTCTTGTCGTCCTGATGTTGTCTGACTTTTATCTGATGATGTGATGGATCCTTTAGTATGTATTGGCAACTTCTCTTTTTTTTTTTTCCTTCTCTGAACTTCCTGTTCTAGCCTATAATTAGTTTTCTTAATATTAGTAAATTTATGTTGATCGCTGTGATATATAGATGAAACTTGTACGTGGCTCATACTACATCCTTAAACATTTTTTTAAAATGTTATGTGTATGAGTGTATTGCCTACATGTAAGTGTACCCATGTTGTGCAGTGCCTGCGGACATCAGAAGAGGGCTTTGGATCCCCTGGAACTGGAGTTACAGACAGTTGTTAGCCACCATGTGGGTGCTAGGAACTGAACCTCTGGGTCCTCTTCAAGAGCAGCCAAAGCTCTTAACAACTGAGCCATCTCTCAGACCCCTTAAACATTCTGTAACATTTATTAGAGTGGGCTGTGCCATGACACATGTGTGGTCAGAGCACAACTTGTGGGAGGGAGTCAGTTCTTTCCTTCCAATGTGCTCTCCTCTGGGGTCTGACTTGTAGCATGTGCCCTTATCTCTTGAGGTGTCTTGCCAACCAGGTTAGTACCTACCTTTTGCTGTTTTTGTTTGTTTGTTTAAATTTGGTGATCTGTTCTCATTGGAATCAACTAATAACTAATCTATTATGAATGCTACTATAATGGAAAAAAAAACAGAATTATTTAAAGATTTCTCATTTTACCAGAGTCCAATTTTATGATGCTTTTGAATGTTGATGGTAGTTAAATCTTGACAAGTAAAACTGGCTTAATTCTGCTTTTTCACTTTCTTTTTTCTTTATTTTTTTGATTTATTAACTTGTAATTGTGTGTGTGTGTGTGTGTGTGTCTGTCTGTCTGTCTGTCTACGTGGGTATGTGCATATGAGTGTGGGTGCCTGTAGAGGCCAGAGGCACCAACTGTCTTGGAGCTGAAGTTACAGGCAACTGTGAGCCTTCACATGTGCGTGCTAGGAACCCAACTCAGGTCCTCTGCAAGAGCAGCAAATGCTCTTACTGCTGAGCCAACTCTCCAGCCCTATTTCATTCACTTTTTAGAGATAGAGTCTCACTCTGCAGTCTAGGCTCACCTAGTACTCACAGGGTGACTTACGCTGTCCTCAAACTCATAATGATCTTTCTTCTGTCAGCTGGGATTAGATATGTGCCACCTTCCCTGACTCTTGGCTTCGTTTTTGGTGGTTTGTTGCTGCTGCTGCTGTTGTTTGTGTATTTTTTTAGAAAGGGTCACACTACGTAGCCCTGGCTGGCCTGTAACTCACTTCATTGACCAGGCTAGTCTAGAGCCCACAGTGATCTGCCTACTTCTGCTTCCCGAGTCCTGGAATTAAAGGCTTACATCTGACTTGGCTTCGCTTTTTTCTAAGATTGATTTTTATTATGTATATGTTTGTGTCTGTGTGAATGTATGCCATATGTGTGCAGGTGTCAGCACAGGCCAGAAGAAGGTGTGTCAGATTCCCTGGAGCCGGAGTTATAGGAGAGTATAAGCCACCTGATGTGGGTGCTGAGAACTGAACTCAGTGCTCTGAGAACAGTATGTGCTCTTAACCACTGAGCCAGCCCCTTGGCTTTATTCTTAATTGCCTATACAAATGGCTGCCAGAGTCAGTGATGAGAAAAGTGAAGAATCAAACAGTTTTTTGTTTGTTTGGTTTTTTTTTTTTTCTTTTGGTCTTTTTGAGACAAGGTCTCCGGGTAGCCCCAGATGGCCTGGAACTCACTATGTAGACCAGGCTGGCCTCGAACTCACAGAGATCTGCCTGCCTCTGCCTCCCGAGTGCTGGGATTGAAGGCGTGCGCCACCATGCCTAGCTCAAACAGTTATTTTTAATAATAGCATACTACTCAGACTAATAATATACTATTACCTCTGAAGCTGCAACATACAACCCTCCCTTTATTGATGAACAAACTTAAGAGGTGGGTAGTATGTCATATAGCTCAGAGATGCCTAAGGCGAGATTTAAACCCAGTTCATCTGATTCTAAAGCCCATTTCATCACATCATACTTCCTCAGTCAGGTGAATGTGTTTTAAATACAATTTTTCAAAGTATATGTAATTTGTTACATGTGATCCTAGTCAAAGTGATTTATTTTTTTTTGTAAACATTAAAAAATTATTGTTAGCCGGGCGTAGTGCCACACACCTTTAATCCCAGCACTCGTGAAGCAGAGGCAGGCGGATCTCCATGAGTTCGAGGCCAGCCTGGTCTACATAGTGAGTTCCAGGACATCTAGAGCTACAGGGAGACCCTGTCTCAAAAAGACCAAAAAAAAAAAAAAAAAATTATTGTTTATTTTAAAGTATATGTCAACGGTTCAAATAGCACTGTTTGTGTGCCTGTCTAAAGTTGGACAGAAGTTTTTCTCTATAGTAACTTTAACATAAAATTATAATAATTGGTTCAATTAAAATATAATTCAAGGAGCTAGAGAGATGGCTCATCAGTTAAGAGCAGTTGCTGCTCTTACAGAGGATCTAGGTTTGGTTCCCAGCACCCACATAGCAGTTTACAACCATTTGTAATTCCAGTCCTAGGGAATCCAACGCCTTCTTAAGGCCTCCACAGGCATGCACAGTTGTATAGGTATGAATGTATATTTAGGCAAATACTCATATTCATTAAAAAAAATATTTCTTAATTCAAGCTGGGTATAGTGGTACATACCTGCAATCCTAGTACTCAGGAGGGTGAGGCAGAAGGATTGCAAATTTGAGGCCAGCCTGGGCTGCATAAAGAGCTGGAGACCAGCCTAGGCTATGTTAGCAAGACCGTGACTTAAAGAAAAGAAAGAAAAAGAGTGAAGATGAGGGGAGAAGAAGAGAAAATATCCAGGTTGGAGAAGACCAGGGTTGCAATCCCAGCATCCACTTGGCAGCTAACAACCACCCATAACTCCAGTTCCAAGGGACCTTGACACCTGCTTCTATCCTCTGTGGGCATGATACAGGTACACTTCCAAACATGCAGGCATAACACTCATACACATGAAAAAGAAAAAAAGAATTTCTGTTTTAGGCCCTATTGAAATTTAGTAACTGAAATAACAGTCATA